CACACACTCACACACATACTCACACTCACACACACTCACACACATACTCACACTCACACACACTCACACACATACTCACACTCACACACACTCACACACATACTCACACTCACACACACTCACACACATACTCACACTCACACACACTCACACACTCACATATACTCACACTCACACACATATACTCACACTCATACTCACACACCACACACACATACACTCACACACACTCACACACATACACACACTCACACACACATACTCACACTCACACACATACTCACACTCACACATACTCACACACTCACATATACTCACACTCACACACATATACTCACACTCCTGCTCACACACACTCACACACATACTCACACTCACACATACTCACACACTCACATATACTCACACTCACACACATATACTCACACTCCTGCTCACACACACTCACACACATACTCACACTCACACACATACTCACACTCACACACATACTCACACTCACACACATACACACACATACTCACACTCACATATACTCACACACATACTCACACACTCACACACACATACTCACACTCACACATACTCACACACACTCACACTCACACACATACACACCCAGGAGCCAACTGAGGCTACATATTTGGAATCTGTTCCAATTGAGCAATCCTAGATTTCTAACAGTTTTGTCCCTTCTCTTCAAGCATCCTTTTCCTTCAGCATCAACAAAGCAAGACCACTGAGCAAGTACAGAATACGCCAGACAGCATACCTGTCAGAAACTGGCTTTCCCCAGGTGCCGTCCTAGCCCTGCTGGTCAGGTCCCCAAGCCTGTCATTCACTGACCTGCCACTTCTGTGGCCAGCTGCAGTGAGTTTCAGGGCTGGCTGCAGCGGGAAATGGAGTGACTCAAATGTGTTCATGGAGGCACTCCCTTTGCATCTGTGACCCACAGTTGCTCCCTCTCTCCTGTCTTGTTGTTTTAGGTACAAGTACTTCTAGAAAATGGAGGTACAGTCTCCCAGAAAATCTAAACAGAGCCATGCCCAACTACTTATATCAATTGCTTTTTAAATAGTTACAAAAATAACATAGATTTGTGAATAAAGAACTTTTAAAAACTCTCCCAGATACCTCACCATTTTCATCAAAACTTAATAAAGTGTTGGCCTGTAAATTAGGGACTAATTATATTGTCTCACTAAAGAGCTCTTTCACCGTAACCAGCTGTGTGCAGTTGTCTGCGCACAACTATAGAGTTGCCTAATCGGGTTTTGCATAGAGTCCAGCACCATAGCATGGCCCCCCTTTCCGGAGCATCTAGCCTGTTCTCTCTCCAGGCAGCCTTTAACTAGCCTTTCAGAAACAGCTTTGTCTAGTGATCATGCCATATCACCAATAACTAAAATGTCCATCTTCCACAGGTCAGTATTTCCAAAAACTGGGTCGGTGTTCAGCACGGGTTTCTGTAAACACAGCCAATATGACCCTTGGCCATCAGGTCATGGAAGTGGCTGTCTTTCGAAGACACGGCCGGGCATACATTCCCATTGCTCAGGTGAAAGACATCTATGTGACAACAGGTGCGTATTGTGAGCTCACATCTGTGGAACACGAGGCATTTGGCCCTTTGGACAACAGCAGATTAAGAGAGTCAGCAGATTAGGAGAGTCTGAATTAGGATAAAATTTATCTGGGCTCCGAGCAGAGCTGAAATATTGAGTCCTGTGGCACCCGACCTGTTCCCCAGCTGAGACACTCTAAAGTTTACATAGGAGAAGGTCTCATTTTAATTGTCATCCAGAGCACATCATTGTAGCCCTCCCTCACAGTCAAGCAACAATGTGTTTTCTTCCTTTCTTCCGTGCATCTTCTAGATCAGATTCCTATATTTGTGACCATGTCCCAGAAGAATGACCGGAACTCATCTGATGAAACCTTCCTTAGAGACCTCCCCATTGTGTTCGATGTCCTCATTCATGATCCCAGCCACTTCCTCAATGACTCTGCCATTTCCTACAAGTGGAACTTTGGGGACAACACTGGCCTGTTTGTCTCCAACAATCACACTTTGAACCATACGTATGTGCTCAATGGAACCTTCAATCTTAACCTCACCGTGCAAGCTGCAGTGTCTGGGTCATGCCCTTCACCTTCATCACCTCCAGTCACACCGCCAGCACCCACACAGCCAATAACCACACCGCCAGCACCCACACAACCAATAACCACACCGCCAGCACCCACACAGTCAATAACCACACCGACAGCACCCACACAGTCAATAACCACACCGACAGCACCCACACAGCCAATAACCACACTGCCAACACCAAGCCCTTCTTTAAGTGAGTACTTTCTGGGTAACGAGGGGGTGGGGGTGGGGGTGGGAGTTTTCCTTAGTTATTAAATAACTTAGTCAATCAGCTGGAGACACTATGTAGCCCTGCTGGCCTTGAACTTGATCTTTAAACTAGGCTGGCCTCAAACTTGTAGCGATTTCCGTGCTGCTGACAGGTTTTCATCACCCATTGCTATTCCTTTATAGAATGTTTTCAATTGTAAAATTAATTCACATCTCTTAGTAACAATTCAAACAAACCATGAGGAAGCCTAGCACAAGAGAAGTCCCCCTGTGTTTTCTCCCCTGGGTCACCCTGACGTTGCTGGTCATGCTTCTGTCCAGATCATTTTCTGCGTGTTTACAAGCATTCTACATGGGCACATAGGTTTTGTCACTTGGGATTCTACGTAAATGGGTTCCTGCCATATGCTTTGCTCTGCGATCTGCCTCTCTTCACTAAACACAGACAGCTTTCAGTTACTGCCGCATAGAAATCTATCCCCCCTGACTGGGCGGCAGCACAGTGTTCACAGGCGTTCACAGGCGCATTAACAAACACCCTGCCTGCTTGTTGGTGAGCAGTTAAGGGATTCCCAAGTCAGTTACAAATGTAACAACAGCCTGGCTGCCGTGGCCCAGGCCTTTAATCCCAGCACTCAGGAGGCAGAGGCAGGTGGATCTATGTGAGTTCAAGGCCAGCCTGGTCTACAGAGTGAGTGCCAAGATAGGCTCCAAAGCTACACAGAGAAACCCTGTCTCATAAAACCAAAAAATTAAAAATAAAACATTAAATAAATACAGTGTCAGGCATATCCAGACAGCTTCATTTTTGGAGACAGGGTTTCTCTGTGGCTTTGGAGGCTGTCTTGGAACTAGCTCTTGTAGAGAGGCTGGTCTCAAACTCACAGAGATCTGCCTGCCTCTGCCTCCCAAGTGCTGGGATTAAAGGCGTGCGCCACCAACGCCCGGCCTCTAGGAAAACTTCCTTCTTGCTTGCTTATTCTCCTCCTGTTCCTCTCTCTCCCTCCTCCTCCTTTTCCCCAAGGTCTCACATAGCCCAGGCTAGCTTCAAACTCGATGCAGCACCAAGGGTGATGACCTGGAGTTGCTGCTCCTCCTGCCTTCACTGTCCAGTTGCTGGGATTTCATGCATGCACCACCACACCAATGCTGGCCAAGTATTCTGCCAGCTGAGCTACATCTCTAATCCCAAGAACCAGTTTCTTTATCTGCAAGTGTATCTTCTTTACAAATCGAGACAGAAGCTGTAAAATTCTAAATAAGTTATAGATGCCTTAGTGTTTCAAAATCTGGCTAAGTTATTTAATTTTGAGTTTTAGAGTCACATTTATATAAAAAAAACAGCTTGCTTTTCTTAGAAGCTATATCATAGCATTCGTCAAAAATATTTCTGAAGCCAATTTTAAGGGGTATTTTAGTTTGTTGCTATTGTTTTCCCTATGCTGTCCTATAAAACAAAAGCCAGTACCCCTTATGCACTCAGCTTTACTGAGAAGGGAAGAGATCTATTTTCATGCAACGGTGCGCAAACTCCACCACAGTCAACCCAGAATGCCTTAAAGCAGCTGGGGTGGGGGAAGGCTTAGAAACAGGGTCCCAAGTGATTACAGAAGTTAACCATGACTTTTACATTTTTGGTGTGTGTGTGTGTGTGTGTGTGTGTGTTGTGTGGTGTATACATATGTGTGTGGGTCACCTCACTCCACACTAGTCTGTGTGTATAGGCCAGCAGCTGATGCCAGGTGTCTTCCACTATGGCCTTTATCCTTATGTTTTGAGACAGGATAGCTTGCTGGACCTGGGGCTTGCTGTGTCAGTTAGGTTGGCTGTCGAGGGAGCCACCTGGGATATAACTGTCTCCACCCAGCCCAGGGCTGGGGTTACAGATGTGCTGCCACGTGGCTAAGCATGACATAAAAGGATTTTTCCCCTAGAGAGCATTTGCAGCTATGTAGACCATATAAGTGAGTTTGTATTCTTTTTGAAAATTGTATCTATTATTATTATTAGTGGTGGGGGTGGTGTGTGTGTGTGTGTGTGTGTGTGTGTGTGTGTGTGTGTGTATGGCGTTGGTTTTCTCCTTCCACATGGGACCCCAGGATCATAATCAATTTCTCAGGCTTACACAACAAACTTCTTTACCCATTGAGCCATCTCACTGGCCTGGCTTGTATTACTGAACTTTATTATTTGGCAATTAAAGATGTGCCCTATGTCTTGGTGAGTAGCTTCAGGATAACGTTCAGCTAAGCTCAGAAGTCTAGGGCTCCAGGAATGTAGCTGAGAAGCAACATGCAGGCCTGGGCTCCTTCCCCTGCACTACAATAAATAAACAAGAAGCAGCTTGAAGCCCTGTCTCAAAATTAAATAAATAACCAAGTGCAACCCCAGGCCTGAAAAACCAAAGCCAAGTTGAAGAGGGCACTAGGCAGCTGACTGAGTCATGAGAGTGGGACACGTCCTGTTTTTCTATTAAAGAATTGTCTCTTTCTCTGGCTGCTCTTGTTCATTTTTCAGACTTTTGTGAGTAAATCTGAGGAACAGAACAACCTTTGTAAGACACAGATCCGACATCTGCAAAATCCCATGTGCATCTAAATAATTCTACCTAAAGCAGGACCACTGACTTTTGTTGTCTTTCTCCTAAAGAAGTCTTACTTTAAAATACAACAGAGTCGTGGTTCCATACTCAAATTGACAGCTAAATTCTGCTCACCCAGAACTTAAACGAAGGGATCCTACATCTCTTAGGGGAAGAACTAGGATTCTTAGCAGCCTCACACAGACCAGCCTCCTGGTCTAGAGTCCATGGGGAAAGACTGAGCGGATGTCTGTGGTCACCTGTCCTGCTGATGAACCACTGCACAAAGTCTCAGATGGCAACTGGGCTGGGCACCAACCTATGAGTGTAGCAGAATGTCAGACTATTATTAGGAATCATTGATTTTTTTTTTTTTTTTTTTTTTTTTTTTTTTTTTTTTTTTTTTGCCAGTCATGTTTGGTTCTATTCTAGCTCCGTGGGCTATTCAGTCTTGGGGCTCCTGGTGTCAGCATGGTCTCCCATACAGCAGGAGTATTCTGCTAGAGTTGTGGTCTGGGATCCTCTCTTTTTCTTTCTTCTGTTGTTTTGAGAGGGTCTTACTATGTAGCCACAGGAATTTGCAACCTTTGTGCCTCAGCCTCTGGATTACAAGTGTGCACCACACCTACTCTTTTTTTTTTTTTTTTAGCCTTTAAACTTTTTAAACATTAATTTACTTATTTTGTGTGTATGGTCACTTTGTCAATGCACCACACACATGCCTGGTTCAGTCCCATGCTAGCAGAGGGCATCAAATCCCGTGAGACTGAAGTTATATGTGAGTTCTGGGAATCAACCCAGGTCCTATAGAAGAGCAGCCAGTGCTCCTATTGCCCACACCAGGTGAGCACCGTGCTGCTGAGTCACACTCAAGTTCAAAGCACAACCCCAGATGTTTTTTTAAACTCAGGAAGCAAATGAAAAGTGAAAGACCTACCAGAATACACGAACAGGTCACAGTAGAGGAGGTGTCCTGGCCTTCACACTGGTACCCCTTGTTTGTCCACACACCATTTAATTCATCTTTCTTCTATGTGCTGTTCATCAACAAAACAGAGCTAAGATCACTGTCCTCTTGGGCTGAACAATTTAAGCTGAACTGAGATGAAGCATATGAACCCTCTTCTCTGCCATGTGTGGTGTTCATGCCCGTGTCAACAGCACACATTCACTTAGGACTTCACTCGCTCAAGGCTGCCTCTGCTCCCTACCCTCCCTGCAGCTTATTTATGGTCGTAAATGGCCATAACACCTACATATATAGGAATCTACACACATTTATTTCAAGTTTCTGCCTTAATTTGAAAGCTCTGGAGTTCTTGATGCTTGGTTTTGTTTGGTTTTGGTTTTTAGTTTTTAGTCCTGGCTGTCCTGGAACTTGAGATGTAGACCAGGCTGGCCTTGAATCCACAATCTCAAGTGCAGAAATTAAAGGCCTATGCCCCCATGCCTGACTTCTTCTACAGGGAAGATGGAGCTAGGAGCAGATGGTGCCTTGGACATGACAGTTCACACTTACAATACCAAGTAATAAGTAGGGATAATAAGATCTGGAGTTAAGGCCAGCCTGGGCTATACAGTGAGTCCCTGTCTGGAAAAAGATAAACACCAAAACCCGCCAAAACAAAAATAATAAAAAACAGATGGACAAAATGACTTTATTTTTTGTTATATCATGTTGCCTCCACTATATTATCCATCCTTATTTATTTTAAACTTTTATTATTTGAACTTTTTTAGTGTCTATGGTTTATAACTCCATGGAGCTGAGGGACTTTTCCAGCGAAAACTGCCAGATAAACAGATACGGTTATTTCAGAGCCACCATCACAATTGTAGGTAAGGCTAAAGACCAATGGAGAAGGATTCCAGAACCTACAAGGCCACCCATTCACATTGCTCACACTAGAAGGGTAGAGATGAAGGAGCAGGGTCACCTGTCTTGTCCAAGGTGATGCAAACGTGAAAAGCAACATCTCATAGTCTCCATGTTCCACTCATCCACCTACCAGCCTTATGCTTTCTGGTAAACTTCACCCCTGGGGCAGCCCACATGCTAAAGAGCCTGGGCTTGGATCCCATGGGAGCCTCCAGGAATCTCAATGGATGGGGGAAAGAAAGCCAGCATGGAGTGCCCACTGCTTCCACTGTGACTTTTACAAAGTCACTCCTTTCTGCCTGTAAAGGGGGAATGAGCCAGCCACCACACAAGGCTGCACACTTCAGGTTCTGCCCCAAGGTCCCAGCAGAGAAAACAGGTGGCACCACAGCCTAGCCTGGGCATCCATGTTTCTAGAGACAGAGCTAGAAGCTTTGGCTGTGCAGTGTCTCTGGGGACAGGACCAGCCACCTATGACCCAGGAGCTGGTCACCCTGTGAGCCTGGGGGCAGCATCTGCCCAGTCACCTTTTCCTAAACCAGCTCCCAGAAAGGGGGTGCCATCTTCTAACACGCACCAGGCTCTAGAGCAAAGAATCTCGGAGGGTAGAACAGGTCCGTGTGACTATGAAAACGCTGCATGGGTATGAATGAAAAGCTCTGGGGACAACTTCCCATGTTTGCTGGATTCCTGTTTAGTAAGCAGGCTATCACTATTTGCTTTTCATTCCTGTCAAGGGGCATCTCTTAGTCTGTCTAAGTTTCTGTAGTAGGGTATGTAGGCTGGGGAGCTTATAACAGTGGGGAGTCATTGCTTGCTGTCCTGAAGGCTGGATGCCAGATCTGGTGATGGTGCGGAGCACTTCCTGGTTCGTAGAAGGCCACCCCCTTGCTGTATCCTCACATGCAGAGGGGACAGGGGGCTCCCTGGGCTCTCTCCATAAGGGTGCTGATCACATCTCCAGCAGAGGCTTCGCCTCCTCACACTGTAACAGAGCTGGGATTTCAGCACAGGAGTCTATGGCAGAATGGTTTCCTTTGCTTTCTGTTGTATTTTAACATTTCTCTATGGTGGCTGTTTTACTAGAGGGGATTCTAGAAGTCAACGTTATCCAGATAGCAGACGTCCCAGTGCCCATGCCCCAGCCTGAGAACTCCCTGATGGACTTCACTGTGACCTGCAAAGGGGCGTAAGTACAGTGCCATGCCAGAGGCCCCTACCGGAATAAAGGGCGTGGCCACTCGTCATCCCTTTGAAGTTGATTCAAAATTCTGCATATTAGAAACCTCAGACAAGCCGGGTGTAGGAGAAGGGGTGTGTCTCTGTAATCCCCGCCAGCAGTCAAGAGGCTAAGGCAGGCAGGAGAGCATGTGCTGTATAGTGAGCCTTTCTCTCAAAATAAAGAATAAAGAGGGGGCAGTGTAGAGTGCATCTGAGCACATACAAAGTCCTGGGTTCCATCCCCATCACTGCATAAAACAGAATATGAGATACATGCCTGCATCAGAGTACTCTGGTGGTGGAGGCAGGGCAATCAGAAGTTCAAGGTCAGCTTTAACTATATAGTGAGTCTGAGGCTAACCTGGCTACATGAAACCATGTCTTGAAAGAAAAAAGGAAAGAAAGAGAGCTGGGGGGAGGAAAGAAAGGCAAAAAGCCTTTTAAGTGTTTAAAACTGTTACTATGCCAGGCGTTGGTGGCGCACGCCTTTAAATCCCAGAACTTGGGAGGCAGAGGCAGGTGGATGGATCTCTGTGAATTCAAGGCCAGCCTGGTCTACAGAGCTAGTTCCAGGACAGGCTCGAAAGCTACACAAAGAAACCCTGTCTCGAAAAACCAAATAAACAAACAAAAAAACCAGCAAAACCCCTCAATACCAACACCACCAAAACCTGGTGACATTGTACTCTTTTCTCCCTCATGTGATCTGTGTGCCCTCACCCCAATTCCATTTCACAGCACCCCCACAGAAGTTTGCACCATCATCTCTGACCCTACCTGCCAGATGGCCCAGAACAGGGTCTGCAGCCCAGTGTCTGTGGACCAGCTGTGTCTGCTATCTGTGAGAAGAGCCTTCAATGGGTCTGGCATGTACTGTGTGAACTTCACTCTGGGTGATGATGCAAGCTTAGCCCTCACCAGCACCCTGATCTCTGTCCCTGGCAAAGGTGAGGTTTGCTTTATAATTTTATGAACATTTCCTACTACACTACACACCCAATACTAAAGCCCTCAAAAGCTTCACTAGCAATGTCTATCTCACAGCAAGGTTCTTTGAATTCTTGTTAATAGGATTTAAGAACTGGCATTAAGCTGGACATGGTGGGGCACGCCTTTAATCCCAGCACTGGAGAGGCAGAGGCAGGTGCATCTCTATGAATTCCAGGCCAGCCTGGACTACAGAGTGAGTTCCAGGCAGCCAAGGCTACATAGTGAGGTTTGTCAAAAGAAAGGAAAAGAAAAGAAACCTATCTAAGAACAAGACTGCAAAAGCATCCTGCCTCTTACAGGACAGGGCATATTGGTATCTGCCTGGGAGCTGGGGAGGAGAGAGATACAATGAAACAGTCAGGCCTGTGACTATTTCACTGTCTTGACCTCCAGGAGCTGTGGAGCTAGGACTGTCCAAGCTCCTTGTTTTTCAGAATTACCTTTAGGATCTTAGCTTGCTGGGCAGTGGTGGCACACACCTTTAACCCCAGAACTTGGGAGGCAGAGGCAGGTGGATGGATCTCTGTGAATTCAAGGCCAGCCTGGTCTCCAGAGTGAGTTCTAGGACAACCAGTGTCTTAGACAGAGAAACTCTGTCTCCAAAAACCAAAAAGAAGAAAAGAATCTTAGCTTACTCCATTTTGTTTCCTTGTGCTGGCAAACTGCTAATCTCCTGCAAGGTTTGTAAGGTTAACTCTTAGCATCTGTGATTTTTGTTCCAGTGAGTGATCACTTTAGATATGACTTAAACCCATTATCAAAAACTAAATAAAGGGGACTGAGGTGGAGCACAGTAGTAGGATGCTTGCCTGGCGTGGGTGAGGCCCTGGGTTCCACCCCCAGCATCAAAAGACAAAAATAAGAATAGAGAAATTTGAGGGGATATGGTAGGACATGCCTATATTTCCAACACTTAGGAAGAGTTGCAAGTTCAAGGACCACTTGGACATAGCCCATGGGGGGGGGAGACGGAGAGAAAGAGAGAGAGGGGAGAGAGAGAGGGAGGGAGAGAGAGGGGGAAGGGGAGAGAGAGGGGGGAGAGAAAGAGAGGGAGAGAGAGATAGAGAGATATTCCAGTCAGTAAAATGCTGACCTTGCAAGCATGAGGACCAGAATTCAGATCATCAGAACCCATAAAAAGCTGAGAGTGGTGCTGGACACCCTCACTCCCAACAATGGTAAAATGGGAGGTGGAGACAGGCAGACTCCTGGGAGCTCACAGGCCATCTAGTCTAACATACGTGGCCAAATTCCAAGCCAAAGAGAAAGCCAGTCTCAAACAAAAAGAGGAATGGTATCTGCAGTTGTCCTTTATCTCCACACGTACACAAGTTCACACACGCGCACACACCCAGACACAGACACATACTCTCTCTCTCACACACTCACACACAGACACATACACACAAACACACACACGAACGCACACACACACAGACACACACACACACACAAAAGTCTGAAGGGAGAAAAAAAAAAACTAATCCAGTGAGTCTTCTAACTTGGTAACTTGAATTTCAAAATCAGAATTTCAGAAATAGTCATAGTTCAAAAGGAAGCCCTCTGACGTTTAAGCTGGAATTCTTGTTATTGGTTGGTAGTCTGTCATTCAGCGGTCCACTTTGCTGCCCAGCACAAATAGGATAGAAGTCTACACTGGCTAAAGAACAAAACAAGGAAGACCCCTGCTTTCCTGAGCAATAACAGATGTTATACAAAAATTTTTAGACCAATTCAATTTTACAAACTGAGCAGCTCTGTAGTCAGAAGAGGCTCAAAGAGGCACATGCTGTCAGGACCCAGGGACAGCCAACGTGGACTGCTTTCTCAGTGAGGCCTGGAGTCAATCAGTTAAACTGCTTGTGACTGGCTGAAACCCAGCCGGTTTTGTTTTAAAGAGTGTGTGTGTGTGTGTGTGTGTGTGTGTGTGTGTGTGTGACCACATGGCTATAGTGCTTGCCTAGGAGAGGCAGGCAGGGTAGTGACAGAGAAGGGCTGAATGGTGCACTCAGGAATGCTGGGAGGGCACCAGAATTGTGGAAACCTGAGGTGAAGAGGCAGGCAGGTAGCCAGCACAGTGGATCAACAGGTAGCACCTGTTGGCACCCAGGTGCCAACAGCTCGGCAGTGTCCTGAGAGGGTGTCACGAGACTGTGACATTCTTCCATGCTTGCCATGTATTCTCAGCACACAGTCTATATATTGTTTAATGGGAAAGGGAACCTCATGCCCAGAGTGCTGCGGGGTCTTCGGCTCCCCCCTCATTGAGCGGCACCACAAGCGCATGTCTTCCCTCCGAACAAACGCAGCTCAGCTCACGTGGGTTTCCTTCTGCTTTAAAGACCGAGCCTCCCCTCTGAGAATGGCAAACGGTGCCTTGATCTCCATCGGCTGCCTGGGCCTGTTTGTCACCATGGTTACCGGTATCTTGCTGTACAAGTAAGTTTCTCGTTTTAACAGGGTACATCTCTACAGCAGGTAGTCAAAAGCAAGTAGCATTCTTCCGTACCAACATGCCGTTTTCTTTTTTCCATTTAAATATTTGTGTAGGAGAAGAAACTCATCCGCAGAACCATGAGTACCAAACTGGGACCTATTAATTTTACTGTGGTGCTGGATTTGTTTGTTTTAAACCCAAAAGTGCTCCCAGATGTCAGTAACTTGTCAAAATTGTGTCTGTGTGATGTTTAACAAAATCTCCACGTGGGCACTTCCTTCTTGAAGAGAAAGTAGCTGTACTCCTCTAAGATGTGGGGGTCTCCCAAGAGACAGACTGGGTTGGATGGTTAGCTCTTTTAGCACCTGGCATGAAAAACACTGTAGAAAAGAATTTAGTTAGGCTGAAGGTATTTTTTAAAATCCTTTGTTTTCAGAAAACACCAGGCATACAAGCCTATAGGAAGCCGCCCCAGGAAGATGGTCAAAGGCAAAAGCCTGAGTGTTTTCCTCAGCCATGCAAAGGCCCCGTTCTTCCGGAGAAACCGGGAGAAGGATCCGCTGCTGCACAGCAAGCCGGGGATGCCCTAAGTCTTCAGCCTTCTTTCTGACCAGGAGCCCACTCCAGTGTGTTTATGTGAGCCGTGCAGAAGCACGGGACTAGAAACGCTCTTTTCCAAAGGATCATTGTAAAATATCTATGATGGTTTAGGAGGCTAGTTATATGGCGCTTTAGAGAAGGCATGAAATGACTTAGTATTTCCTCCTGTTTGTGTCCTGGTTTTTACTGTGTAAGTAGGACGCACACACTGTGTCTGAAGAGTGACGGGAAAGTCATTGCTCCTGAAGGTCCTAGGTTAACTAGGAGAGGAGACTACATGCTTCCCAGCTTTCCAAATAGCCATGTGCTATTATTCTTGACCTGAAGACCAGGCTCCATCTAACTGAACATGCCTGAGCTCCTGGCAGAAAGATAATACAAGCTTTTTGTATTGTGTGTGTGTACATGCTATACTCATTAAAGACAGTCTAATTAGCGGGTGTGATTATTTTATCAGGGTGAAAACTTTTCCTGTCTAGTTGGATGACATCCTCATCTATTCTTTATCCAGGAACATTTATTTAGTGCTTTCTGTATACCAACAGTGATGCTGAGACTTGGTCTTGCACTCAGAGTTGATGGGCTGTTGTGCACATCCTGGCTCTTGGTGCCTTCCAGGGTTCCTATGTAGAATGGCGTGCTATGGTTTTTGTAAGGTAGGCCACTTCTTTTCCTATCAGTTTCTGTGTGAAAAGTCATATAGGAAATAATCAAGGATCTCACCTCTATTTGTAAGTAAAACCCTGTGCCATATGTTAGACATGACATTCTTTTTTTCTCCTTCTTGAAAAATAAAATGTGGGATGAGATGAGCCCTCGGTGGGATTGTTATTTTTCTAACGTATTGTTTGCTTTTCAATTACATTTATGATTTTAGCACAGAAAAGTCCTTTAAGCCGGGCGTTGGTGGCATACATCTTTAATCCCAGCTCTTGGGAGGCAGAGGCAGGTGGATCTCTGTGAGTTCAAGGCCAGCTTGGTCTTCAAAGCGAGTGCCAGGATAGGCTCCAAAGCTACACAGAGAAACCCTGTCTTGAAAAAAAAAAAAAAGAAAGAAAGAAACAATCTTATTTTACAAATCAATCCCAGTTTCCTCTCCCTCCCATACTCCCATGCCCCCCCATCCCTCATCCTACCCACCCCCATTCCACCCATATAAACATGTAAAGGAAGAATTTGGGGAGGCGAAAAGCAGTGCAGCAGCAGAGTGCTTGCCTTGGCTCTATTTCTAGCACAGAAAAAGAAATTTAATTAAATAAGGGAGGGTTTTTTATTTTTTGTTTTTGTTGTTTTTTTTTTAATAAAGAAGAGGCCTTAGTCTTTGATTCTGAGCAGTCAACATCTTATTATAAATAAGGAATAGGTACTAGTTTACAAGTAGGTGGACTTTTTCTATGAAGTTTGCAAATATCTTAGCCTTTGTGGGTTTGTAGTTTCCCTCCAAGTTCTCAGTAGCATGAGAACCAGAGATGGTGCATTGCTGAATGAGCACAGCTACCTTCCAGCACAAACCTACTTCAAAAGCATGTGGTGGACCACATTTGACCCACACGACACTCTTCTACACCAGCGGAAACTTAACAGCAGCCTAGTGCAATTGGAGTCCAGTATGGTAGAGGGTGGGAAATGGCCATGAACAATAGTTTAGGGGACAACTGGGTAAATCTGGATAAACCCCCAAATACTAGACAGTATTATAGAATAACTTCATTTTGAGGTATTTCAGGGGACCAACATTTAGTCTGGTACTTTTGACCCCCGATGGCCTAGAAGCAAAAAGAAGGTTTTTGTTTGGAAATTGCCTCCAAAGAATGCAAAAATTGCCAGCCAGCTATTTATGTGATGGCTGTAGGGCAGGGATTCTCAGCCAGGGGATGCTTAGCAATGTTTGGAGAGATTTGTCATTGTCACAACTAGGGTTGAGTGTTACCGGCATGTAGAGGGGAGAGCCCAGAGATGCTGCTGAACACCCTAAAACCTGCAGGGCAGCCCCACAACACAGGGGCCCTGCTGCAGAGCAATTGAAGAAGTCCTGGGCATGGACACCCAAACAGAGGCCTTGAATCTGAGACCAACCCTGACACTTCAAGCCAAATGACCTAGTGCCGTGATATTTTAGGAGCCTTTCCCACCTCTGTCTCATATTACAGGGTATGCTGTGCTCTCGGATGTACTTCACAGGGCTGCTCCACAGCCATCTCCAAGAATGACTGCAGATAGACAGGTAGTTGTGGGGCAGTTGCCTAGCAGACGGGTGGCCCTAGACTTGACTCCCACCAATGAAAAAAAATATGAAAGTAAAGGTACTCTTGATATGTCTCCTGTTATACAGTGCATGTTGAGCCTGAGGACAGAAGCAGTGTGCAGGGAGAGGCTTTTTTTTTTTTTTTTAATGACTAAAGAGCCAGATAATTAGTACCTAAAACAGAACAGTGATTTCAGGTTGCAATAGAATGGACAGACTGCCAAGCCACAACCCCTTGGCTTCTAAGGCACTCTTGTGGAGGTGGGACCCCATGATTTGGGGTTCTAGGACATGAGTAAGATTGGGTTTGGAACCTGCTCTCCCTTTCTCATATCCACAGGGGGCAGCAGAGAACAGCAAATCCGTAACAGTCACTAAGGCCTCGGGCCCACAATTTTATCTAGCTTCATTTAACCAATTTTTAATCTAGCAAATAGCAGGAAAGAGGCCTGAAATAGCACATAGTGTCGATTTATATTGTCTAAGTGATGCTGACGAGAACTCATTTAACTTCCAAGGGCATTATCTGCAAAATGGAGAAAACAGCATAGGAGATAGTGGGATGATTTGATGGATGTTGGCTGAGAATTGGAACGTCCCAAGGAAAGTGAGTGTACAGGTAACAAATTATTCCAGGAATTTCTTACTCCTAGGACCTTCATAAATGTCTACATTCTGAGTACCTCTGAGTCATTCAGAAATACTAGTTTCCCAGGGTTGATTTCTGTGATATAAAAGTTTGAAGGACGATGCTGTCAGAACTCATTGTACACACAGCGCACAAAACTCTCAGGCTCAGGTGACAACGAGATGACGAGTGGACAGTCATCCTGAGGGTGAAGGTGACCTCCTTTTGGTTGGATCCTGGCTGGAGGAGGGGAGGGCAATCCTTTGAAGGTGTTTGTTGTTGTCATGGATGTTGAAGAATGCTTTTAATGCTGCTGGAGTTAGGTACCATTTCAGGGCACCTATTCCAAAGGTCCACATTCAAGGGTCCCTTGAAGACTAATTTTGATCACTTAATCATGTTTTTATTGAATGCTAGGGTGGCTTTAGGTCTAGAAGAGAACAAAGAGATGATTAAGAGACACAAGGACTGAGTTTGTGGCGCTTAGATCCAGACCAGCATAGTATGTCACTGGGCCAGCGTAGTGTGTCACTGGACCAGTAAAGTGTGTCACTGGGCCAGTGTAGTATGTCACTGGACACGGGGTTTCTGCAGCAACTTCACTGACCCGGGGCCTGGCCTTCACTTCACCTGCAAGGGCAACTTGTGTTTACACATCCTTAGCCATCCCTATTCTCAAGATTCTAGAATGAAAATTGCCTTAGAGCCCTTCTATGGGCCCTGTGGAGGTTTGAATGAGAATGGGCCTCATAGGCTCATATATCTAAATGCTTGGTCCCTATTTGAGGGAACCGTTTGGAAAAGAATAGGAGATGTGGCCTTGTTGGAGGAGGTGTGTCATTGGGGGGAGACATCCATGCCAGGCCCAATCTCACTTTTTCTACCTGCCTGCCTGTGGATCAGTTGTAAACTTTCAGCCCCATGTGACCGTGGACTAACCTCTGAAACTATAAGCAAGGCCCCAATTAAATGCTTTCTTTTATAAGAGTTGCCTTGGTCAAGGTGTCTCTTCTTAGCAGTAGTACAGTGACTAAGACAGGTTCTTTGGCACTTTGGTTTTAGTACTTAGCCAATTCTTGGTCGGTGCTTAACTTCCCCAGGCATCTCACAGTGTCACTCTGCTAATGAAAATGCCTCTTACACTCAAAATACAATCCTGCTGTTTATGACAGCTGCACAGATGCCAGCAGCACAAACACCAAAACTTGAGAGGTTGAGTCCTTACTTTGAATGTTTGCATGAAATAAATTCCGCTTTCCTGGAAAGAGATGAGCTGTTGATGAGCACGTGGCAGGAGGGTTTTGTGGTTGTAGAGATAATCATAAAATCTGGCTTGGAATTGAGTGAGTGCCAGAGTAGATAGGGCTGGAGTGGAGAGGCCTGTGCTCCAGCCTGACATCACATTGTCACTAGCAAGGGACCTAGAAGCCTGTCTCTCCCTCTCTGCCCCTTAACTGTCAAATGGAGGGGGTGAGGTGGAGGCCACTTCTAAGTCTTCGGGTTCTGATACTCTACTGTGGAAAATGAGGACAGTTAACTTTCTCCACAGGGACTCCGGGAGACTGATATTCTACATCAGGTAGATCCCAGTTTCCCTGCCCAAACCACCCTCCTGCTCATAAGCAAAGTGTAGTTTTTGTACTTGTAAATGGTTAGGGAGAAAAATGAAGAGTCAAGGTTGATGTGGGATGTCCTGTATGCTGCGGATATGCGTTGCTATTGTTGGTTGATGAATAAAGCTGCTTTGGCCTATGGCAGGGCAGAATATAGCTAGTCAGGAAATCCAAAGAGAGCTACAGGGAGAAAGAAGGCAGAGTGGAGCAGATGCCATCCAGCCACCAAAGGAGAAAGATGTCCAAGCATCACTGATAAGCCACAGTCATGTGACGATACACAGATTAATAGAAATGGGTTAATTTAAGTTGTAAGAGCTAGCCAATAATAAGCCTGAGCCATCAGTAATACTAAGCCTCTGTGTGGTAATTTAAAAAAGCAGCTGCTATGTATTTGGGACTGAGGGGCTCCAAGACAGGAAACTTCCACCTACACAAGGTAGGTCGTGTGGTCCCCATCCACGCACAGAAAGAAAAAGGAGGCAAAGAAAGCAGGGATGGGAAACAGTGCAATTCATGACGATATTAAATAATCATGTGGCCAGGTGGCTGAGGCGCACACCTTTAATCCCAGCACTAGGGAAGCAGAGGCAGGCGGATCTCTGTGAGTTTAGGCCGGGCTGCTCTACAGAGTGATTTCAAGATGGCCAGGGACACACAGGAAACCCTGTCTCAAAAAACAAAGCAAAACAAAACAAAAACAATTATGCAAAATGCAGAGTTCAGTATCCATAAGTATTTACTGTTCTCTCTTCTCCTCTTCCTCTCACTCTTCCCCTTCCTTTTCTTCTTCCTCCTCTCTTTCCTCCCCTTCTTCCTTCTTCAGCTCCCTCTCCTTCCCCTTTCCCTCCTCCTCCAGACAAGATCTCACCATATGACCTGGGCTAGCCTTAAATCCTGGGCTCGATGGATCTGAGATATTTTCCTATCTGCCTCCCTGCCTCCCTACACCTCCAAGCAGGCAACCCTTAGTTCTTATCTGCTGCTGCTCACCCCACAGCAGCACAGCTGGGTGGTTCTGAGGGAGGGCGAGAGGTCCTTCAACACCTAAGGACCTGACGCTTTACAGAGAGTTTGCTGCCTGACGCTTTACAGAGAGTTTGCCCATCTGTGACCTATGTGATCTGGACCTTATTAGGAAAACAAGAATTATGCAGAGAACTTCAAGTATATGTCACCTTCTCTATTTTTTTCTTTTTTAAGATTTATTTATTTATACTTATGTACAAGGGGGACCCTCAGAAACCAGACGAGGGCATCAGATCCTCCAGGGCTGAAGTTACCGGCAATCATCAGTTGCCTGACTTGGGTGCTGGAACCCAAGCT